CAGCTCATTTTGAATCTTAAAGCAAAGGTTGTGTTTGACAGGACAGAGATCCAATGTTAGCAATTTTATAGGACCAAAAGATGGAAGATGTTCGTGAAAGCTCAAAGATTTTACTGTGACTGAACAGCTCTCATCGATATACTGGGTATTTCTGATATTTGGGGTTGGATTTTGTTACAGTGTAAGTCACAATCAAAGGACGGCATCTTTTTCCTAGACCTAGCTGCTCTTCATTCATCAGGAAAAAAGTCAGGCCTCTGTCACTTAGCTTTACAGCTTCTTAATATATGCTGACAGATGCATTAAATGATAGAGGCAACAAATTCAAACTTGTTAACTGTAGGTGTCTGAAATAAAATAATGACATGGAGAGAAATCACAGTGAGTTGGAATGCTTTAAAGCTTCTGCATAATTTATGTGCCCTGAGATGAAGATGCAATCAACATGTCAACACTGAAGCAGAAAACAGCATGTTGAGGTGCCTTCATTTTAGGTGTCTGGGACAGATTAATTTGTAGTTTCCTGTGGGATGGGTGTTTCCTTTTCAGCTGCCTGATTGAAACAGGTGGAATCTTTGTGTGTTTGTGGGTTAAGTATTTCAAAACACTGATTGATCAGAATTCAGTCTGATCATGAAGCGCAGATTACCAGGGTGATCCACGCTTGGTTTAGAATCAACCAGTGTCATAATAGCAGAAATCCAATGGAATGGTTTCATTTTTAGCACCTTTTTTCATTCATATACTGCAGTTTGTCTCGAGAATGATGAGAGACTTGAGTGTTTGTTTCAGTGTAGACTCTCACAGTGCCCGTCAATCGCACTGTCACAGCTTGGCTCACATGCTCAAAACGGAGGTAGTAACTAGTAATGAATCTTTTAACTAATTGGGCCCAAGTGTAGCTCATGCAGCCAGTTACTTCTACAAGTAACAGCACTATAACCACAGCAGAGACACCTAGTGGCTGGGGGTTGTCACACTCTTCCTAAACACCAGCTGAATCCAAATCATTGCTTTCCCCCCCATTTACTCTACTGCATATAAAATAGTTTTACTCAGTTACAATGTCTCATTTTCAACCACACTCTGTTGTATCATGTTCACCAAGTTTACTGCAACAGCCTCCCCAGTTAGTGTTAACTCCACTCTATAACTCAGGAAACCTGGTGCTTGGAATAGGCACTTGAAGAGTAGGCTGGAAAAAATGAAGGAGCTGGAAAGCTACCAGAAAACTGAGTATAGTCTCAAGAATAAGTTACTCTTGACAAAGCACCACAAAACATCAAATCACTGATTTATCTCAGTTGGATGAGCAGGCAACTATATGGCGCGTGGCTGAGAGTGGCCTGCCCAGGTTCGAATTTGACCTTCGGCCCTTTGCCACATTTCTCTCTCTCTCTTTCCCATCAATCTTCACTGCATCTGTCTATCCATGCATCCATCCATTCGCTTCCGCTTATCCTTTTCAGGGTCACGGGGGGCGCTGGAGCCTATCCCAGCTGTCATAGGGCGAGAGGCGGGGTACACCCCGGACAGGTCGCCAGTCTGTTGCAGGGCCAACCCACAGGGACAGACAACCATTCGCACTCACATTCATTCGCACATTCACACCTAGTGACAATTTGGATTATCCAATTAACCTATCCCCACAAGCTGCATGTCTTTGGACGGTGGGAGGAAGCCGGAGTACCCGGAGGGAACCCACGCAAACACGGGGAGAACATGCAAACTCCACACAGAAAGACCCCGGCCTGATGTTGGAATTGAACTCAGGACCTTCTTGCTGTGCGGCAACAGTGCTAACCACCGTGCCACCGTGCTGCCTGCATCTGTCTAATAAAGCAAAAATAAAAAATAAATGTATATACATATATATACAAAAACCCCATAAGATCCCTGATGTGATGGATGTCTGAGCCGTTTGATTGCAAAAACAAAAGCCAGTGCATTTGGACAACAGAATGAGTGCAGGAAATCGAATGAGTGAAAAAGGCTGATGTGTCACTTGCTCTATTAGGGGAACTTGCTAGTTCAGTACATCAAGTTTACTGACAAACTGAGCTGAACCCACCCTGTTCACGCAGTCTTCCATCCATGGTAGAGGATAAGCATCTGGTTTAGTCAACCCCCTTTCCAGTAATTGGTACAGAATCCGGGAGTTGTTGGCTGTATCCACCAACAAACAGGGAGAAGCCCAGCTTGAAGATGAAGGTTCACAATACTATTATTGAACATATACTGAATTTCCTTCTCCATCACCTTCTCTTTTCTTTCCCAGAAAGTCTTAAAATGCCAGTGAATCAGTTGTGCGTCACCCACATCAATGCCATGCTCTGTTAGATGTGTTTGAGTTTGACAAAGGAATAATCATTCATGATGACAGACAGCTTTGTGAACGGGCTTCCAATTTACAGAGGGTGCTTCCTCGGCAGGCTTTCACTGGATGGGTTTACCACATCACCCTCATGTGCCAGTGAATCCATGCTTCCCACTGTGCTGTAGTATGTCTTCCCCAGTTTTACAGGGCTGGGACACCATGATGTAATGGGGTTTAAGCAGATTAATATGACAAAAATGAATTTAAAAAACAAATAGTTATACTCTGAATTTTGAATGGCAAAGGGACCATAAAGTGCCCTGAAATGAGACACCACCAAATGGCAGCAGAGCTAAAACCTGCTCACCTGGACCGAACTGGTGCAGTTTGGCTTTTGGATAATTAAGATGCTTCATTTCTATAATCCAGAACCAGATTCACTATCTCAATGGGGAGATAAACAAAATCCCGAAGCAAACTTATGGGTCCTGGCACCGTGTGACCAAATACCATCTCATTTAGACTAAACCCAGTAATGAGTTGAATTACATCCCTGGCAGCCACCAACAAACAGCCATGGGGCTTTCCCAAACCTGACATAACTCACATTACCCCCACAGCAGAGTCTTCAAAGTTTGATGGAAGCAATAAAGTGTCCCTTGGCTCTGAATGTGATTATGCCTTACTCAGACTCGTTTCAAAATTTGAGTAAACAGTTGTGATGAAAAGTTTGAGGGCTGAACAATCTGTATCACCTTTACGATAATTGTGGCGGGAACGTAAGAGCTGAAACCCTTGAGCCTAGTGAAACAGCTAGAACCGTCAATGACTCCTGCAACCTTGGATGTGCCTCCTAGACAACCTTTTTTGACAAAACACACAAAAAAACCCTCCCCAACAGACCAGAGAGAATCCACATTCCATCAGGGACAGAACAGCAGCTGCACCTTATACAGACTCACACACACCAGGCACAGGCACAGCCAAGCTCAAAGCCAGATGAATCACAAGCCGAGGACAGCTCAGTGACCATAACTTTCAGCAAAACAGTAACATTAACAGTAACATTAAGTAACAACATTTTTATTTACTACATGTCAGAATCTCCCAAAGAGCCAGATCTCCCAAAGAGCCAGATTGCTCTGGTCTTTATAAGACCAGAGCATATAGATAATGGCTTTAAAATGGAAAGCCAATTGCTCCAACAATCGAAACTGCAAAATGACTAGCCCCATTTGCCCTAGTCTGTCTGACAGGATACTACAGAACAGAGGAGACTAGACGAGGTTGTAATTAGCAGAGAATCTTTTATTTTAAGGAAAGCAAGAGCAGCATGTGTAGAAAGGAGAGAATTTCTTCTCCAATCAGCTCCTGTTGAACAAAGCACCTACTGCCTTGGGGGGTCATTGCAGCATCCTTTAACTGACCTGTAAGAGCCATGGGAAATCTTCTTTCTGATGTTTACTGCTCTTTATTCACCTCTTCTGAGATTCAACCTTAATTTGACCTTTAACTTAGTATATGTTCTACTCAAAAAGTTCATGGATGTCCTTTGTTTGTTTTTTTAATATTCCTTTTCATACTTGTTGTCATTTGGTTTAAGGAGATACGATTATGATTATGAAGATTAAAAGTCATCAACCAGCTAAAGAGAAAACCTGTTTGTCAAGTCTATAGCTTCATATTTTACTATAATCACATAAACACGGTTTTTTTTCCCCCACAGGCAGATATAGACGTCACAGTCCACTGCGTTATTAGTGTGTTCACTCACTCATTATGCTGCATTAAGCCACAGTGATAGTGATGCTACTATGCTAGAAATAAACCTGTGTTAATAACTGAATTTGCTCCTGACTGTCGTTGAATGTGTTATTCTGCCTGCGTGAGCACAGACAGGCTAATAAAGAGAGTTTTAGCTTTGTGCACATTTCTGTTTTGTATTTAATCAAGGCTCCTTTGAGAATGACAAGCTCAGATACAAATGGGATCAAGATCACAGAGAAGTTTTTTTGGGGTTCAAGTGACGGTTTTGGTTATGCCACCATATGCAAACGATAACAATCTCATGCATCCTTTTCAAAAGTAAAAAAAGGAAGTTGCCTCATGCGAGCTCTGCAGCTACAGCTCACGCTGGTAGGCAGATGCTCTGCAACCACACATTTAGTCACAGGACCAGAGCAGCACTAAATAAAACACCCAAGTACATCACATTGAGAACACGAAGAGGCTTGTAAGACGTACAGGAAACTCTTGAGCAGCTTTATGGACTAAAAAAAAACCCCAGAAGACTTACGACCAAAATCTTCAGCATTCTGAATTTGATTCTTCAGGGTAAGTTTCTCCTTTTTGAAACTTCTGCTTTCATTTTCTGTGGATTTTCTGTGGACAACACGCCAGTGCTCTTCTGCTTCATGCCTGCTTTTTTGTTCAGCTAAGTGCTTCAGTGGATTATTTAGTTAGAATAAATTCAAAGATAAAAGATTTTAACAGTTGTTTTAACACTGCAATCTGCTCTGTAGCTCCTCTTTCCTGAAGTCATCAAAAAAAGCCAAGCTCTGTTGTGTTAGGTCAGGTAATACACTGCATTCTCTGTGGTATTTTGTCATGTCCAGTAATGGTCAGTACAGCATCCTTTTAAGCACTCAAGCCCAGAGTAAAGTGCCGTAATTTTCTCAAGGGCGGGTTATCTTATTTCCCTCTGCCTTGCTCCTACTATTACATTTCTCTTAATGCTAAGCAGGCATCTTCGGAGACACAATAGTATTCACACGCTCATGTCTCTGAGGGTGTGTCAATACCTCAGTGGTTTTGACATTAACATCAGATTTTTTTCAAAAACTTTTAAACAAAGGAAACAGTATAGACGACGAAGATTGAAGTCTGGTAAGTCAGCTCGTTTGTTACTGCTTTGATTGCCACTTTATGAAAAAAAAAGCTTAGTTCATGAAGAATGTGCTACTGCCGTGGCATGTTGCACTGCTTCGGTATATGGATGGCATGTTGAAGTGCGCAGTTAAAGGGATGTTTTTCACAGTTTAGATTGCGCCTCAGTGAGAATACAGAGCAGATTATCTTTATTATTGTAGAGACATGTTTGTGCAGCATTAAAAAAAACCCATACATGGCTCACATTACTGAGCATCATGGATCAATAAGTCATAAATAATACACCAGGACATAATGACATGATGTAGGAGAGGTTCCTGTACAAGCAGTTTTACAATGCAAACATTTATAGACATGTAAGCTTAGCATTTCTTTCTTTAAAATACTACAGTGTCAGTTGTGTGATTGAAAGCATCTGTTTAATTAATCTTTTACATGATGTTCAGCAAAATGGTTTTACCACAACAGATGTGCTTATTCTGTGTTTTTAGTCCGTTGTTGTGTTTTTTTGCTGTGTTCCTCCCATGATGTACATGGGGTATAAGTTTCCACTGAATCACTAATTCCCCATTTTCTGACTTAAAAAGAGGAACAAGAAGCCACAGAAGATTTCTGTACAGTCTCATGGCCCTTAACGCATCTTTCTTTAACATCGGGGCATGTCTGTTTACTATCAGCTGAACTTGGAATCCTTTTAGACTGTGAATGTGTAACCACACTGTAAACCAACTGATCATGCCACAAAGCAGCGAGCAGCAAGAAGATCGAGTGCTGTGTTTCTACTGTTGTCAAGGAAGTGTTTTAAATAAAAACTCCTTTGTTAGTCACTGGTTGGGGAAACATCACATGTCTGAAAGCTATCTTCGTGCCATTTAAGACGGGTTAGATAAGCCCCTGTGGTAAACATGTTTCCGATTCTGCTGATGCAGCCACGCTACACGCTCTGACCTGAATTATTTACAGTGGCTCATGGCTGTGTTTGTAACCAATTCAATCCAAGCAGTGTGTAATGACATAGTTTTAAATGGTTTAACCTAAATCTTTACTTTGATTCCTCCAATTGTTGTAGATGACTTACTGTGGACACAGATTTGGGTGTACAGTGATTTTATTGCCCTTTTTCTCATGTTTCAAATTTCTGCAGGCTAAACAGGACTCGATTAGTTGCTTTTATTTTTTCAACAAGAAGCACCCAGAGAGCACAAACCTCCACCAAGACAGCCAAGACACTTTTAAGGGAATAGTTTGGTATAGTTTGGTATTTTGTAAACAAAATTTTGTAAACAAAATAGCAAACTTGTGTAGGAGAAGCTAACGGATAATAGGTTTGTAATAATATTGATTTTTACAACTTGTAGCTAGACATAAATAACTGACTAGCAGCTCATGCTCTTTCTCTTGATATTACTTTCTTTAAAGCTGTAATGCATTTGGGGTTAAATGTAAAAATGAGGTCAGAGGTTACATTTTGACATGACACACATACAACCACTACCAAACTTAGTCTCCTTAAAGCTCATAAAGCCAGTTAACTACAATTTAAATGAAAATAAATTTTTAAAAAAAGCACCAGTAAAATGGTAGTTACTGAGTGTCTTAGTTATTAGGTATTAGCAGTGAAACAGTAACAGTGTCTTGAAAAAAATCTCTACACTTTGTATTGAAAGCTCCTTGCAGCACCTCTGTCACTTCTGGATTATGGATAACTGTGTTGTATTTCCATGCAGATCACTGGAGGAAAGGGTGAAAAATGAAGAAATCTGAGATGTTTGGTTTCACTCTGGAGACAGACGACAGGACAGAGGAGGAAAGGTCGCGCCAAAAGGTGACTAAGAAAGATGGTCTGGCTTCTGCTTTGAGGTTGAGCCCGGAGGACCCCAAGACACCTATGGACACTGATTACCAGGAAGAAATGGAGAAGATGAAACCTCAGATCAGATTCAATTTCAACTTTGACAAGTGAGCCTCTCAATGCAGTGATAAAATGATGTTTGCCTCAATATAACACTCATTATAAGATTGGTGCTGGGTATTTTCAAGCCCCAAAGTGCTGATTTAATAACCCCCTGCAACCCAACTGTCTGTTACACTTTTTTGGTTTTTTGTATAGAGGGATTCGAGGTGTGGATCAGCATGATAACAGGAGAGACAGCAAGACGTATAACCGTGACAGACTGTTTGAAGCAGTGGCCAGCAGAGATATCAGCAAACTCGATGGCCTTCAAGAGTACCTGCGCCAAAATATGAAGAAACTCTCTGACTCTTTGTGTGAGTGTTGGAGGACCGGTAATGCAACAGCTGCAACTAAAGTAGAACATGCTGACCTATGTGTTAACCACATGGATTTGTGTTTACATCCACAGATCGGTCCTACGGTAAAACGCCCTTAATGAAAGCTCTAATGCACCTCAAAGACGGCAGGAATGAGACCATTGAAATGTTGATCGACATTTCAGAGAAGATGGGTGATGTTAAGGAGTTTGTGAACGCAGCCTACACCAACAACTACTACAAAGGTAACAGATTTTCTGTGTCCGGGAGATTTATTTGAACTCTTTTAATCTTGTCACAATATCCATATTCCAGCATTTTTTTCCAGTAATGCAGTGGACATGTTTAAATAAGACTCATTTTCTTGCAGGCCAGACAGCTCTGCATATAGCCATCGAGAGGAGAAGTATTTTTTATGTGAAGCTGCTGGTCAGCAAAGGTGCAGACGTCCACGTCAGAGCTTGCGGGAAATTCTTCCAACCACACAAGGGTCCCTACTTCTACTTTGGTGAGCACATGCTGCTGCAGAGAGGAGTTTCCTCATGCAAAGATCATATGCCGACGCAGTGAGTCAGCCAGTTATTTTTGTAGTTTTTAGCATCAGAGCAGAAGTGTGATTTTTTTTTTTTTTGAAGGAACAATATGATGGCCCAGTTTCCTTGATCAATACTTAATACTCAAATATGTATAGAGGAACAGTGTGCAAGTTGTTCAAAGGGAAAGATTGTCCTATTTTTGGACATGCTGCTACTTTTCCAAGTTTCTTATTTAGTGTCCTTTTGCAAAATGCAGAATTCTGAATTACATGAGAGTACATTAAAAGACCAGTACAGCTTTGAATCTCGAATGAGAAACAAGAGCGAACTCAAGATAAGTAAAGGTTTCCTCAGGTTCCCTTTAACTATGACACCAACTATATTAGTATCCCTATCTACATACTGTTACATAACCTCTGGTACTTATTAAAGTCTTAAAAGTCACATATGATAAATTATTCTTTGGCGTGTAACAGTATACTCTTTAATCAAACATAAAATAATTGTTTCAAATGTACAGAATACCTGGAATATTAAGTAAATGTGATCTTCATGATTTGTTGGCCATAAATTTCACAATTTATAATCAATTAATTATCTCTCTGTAACTCATCTTCCTCTATTACCAGTTTAACAAAAAGATTATTTGGGTCAAACTTGCTCTTCTTTCGGCCAGATAGTTTTTACAAATGCTGATTTTTTTTTTTTATCTAGTTAATGGCTAAATCAACGACTTATATTAGCTGATGGTTTTAAGACGGTTTCACCATATGTGTGTTTTTCTGTTGCTGCCTGGACAGAATTTTTTTCTGCATGAGCAACAAAAGCTTGCTCAAACATCATTGGTCAATGGAAATTTAACTGCAAACACACCACAAAGAAAAACAGGACACTCTTGCTACCAACAGTCTCATCCTTTGCTTAAGGATTCTGCAAATAATTTTTTCCAGTTTTGCATTTGCATCTCTAGCTTCAGAGGGAAGATAGAGATAAAAATGGACAATATGAGTAATGCAGGAATCTTTCCCCCACCGATAGCTTCGTGTGTAGTCCCTAAATCATAGAGGAAACCATGACTGGATTCAAAACTAGTTGTCACAATATAATGTCAATTGGATTGACTAGACATAAAATGGACCAGCAAAAAAATAGTCCCTTTAGACTGATTTTTAATTTTAGGGTGTGGAGGTAAACACAGACGACACGAGAGCTCTCGATTGACACTGCTCGTTTATTACT